ACCCATATAAGGTGAAACTTAATTTGTATTTAAAGCAATGTATGCTATGAACCAAATGAGTTGTCCAAGGAAGTAGTAAATGTTTTAGGATTTCGAAGAGAGGAAAGATTAGCTTAGGCTTTTATTAGGGAAGGATTTCTGGAGGATGTATCATTTAACCTGGCTTTTGGACAATAGATAGGACCTGAAATGGTGAAAAGGAAGGGTGTGTCTTAGGCATTGCAGGCATGGTGAAATCAGATAGAACTAAGTTCAGATCTCAGATTTACTAGTCAAAAGTTGCTTGACTTTGGGAAAGTTATCTATAAAAGGTAATGTAAAATGACTTATAACAGTGCCTAGCACACAGCAGATATTAAATAAATGCTAACTATAGTAACTATTATTATTTGTTTCCAAGCTTAGGGAGGGTGTTTAAGTCAAGATGCAGAATTAGAAATTAATGCAATGTGTTATGGGGCAAATTAAGGAAGTAGCTTGGCTATAGCATTGATAAAGTAGAAGAAGAGTGGGTAAAGAGGAAGGAAGGTTTTTTTTAAGGTTATATTGTGGCTGCCTTTGTGTTTCCAGCTGACAGATTCAGATTTTATCCTGTTGTAAATGTAGGAGACATTGGTAGCTTTTGAATGGTTAAATGTTGTGATGAAAATAGTGATTTTGAAATGTGATTTCAATGTTTTTGTGTTGAATGGATTTGGAGGTTTCCATTTCATTGACTTTAACATACACATTCCATAATGGTTTCATTCACAGAAATTGATGGTTTGCTTTATGATCCTAAGCATATGGGTTCATATACTTTGCATCAAGCTGTCTTTCTACTCCCTCTCACTTGGCTCTCTGGCAAGTCGAATTAAACAGACAAATCAACAACAACAACAAAATAATGAAACTTGTAATAACAGTTTGTAATACTTATGCAATATAGTTAAATAAACTGATTTTATTCAATCAGACAACTAATTCTACTGATTTATTATACTAAGTTCATGGAAATTGACCAATAATTTCAGTCAGACCAATTGATCTGGTTGTACAGGGAGATACAATCTTTGTCGGCAATAGAAAAAAAAAAGTTTATTTGGATATTCTCTTCAGGAAAGTTAGTGTCAAACCCATAAAACCTAGCTTTAGGAAAAAGCAGGCAGTAACAGTAATCGCTTCACTAGATCATTAAGACTAGTGTCATGTTATACTCAGTAGAGCAATGATATTTAAGTATAATTAAACATAAACAGCTACAGAGGAAAATGCAGGGGAGGAATTGTGGAGCGAAACATAGTATGAAAGTGCATCCCTTGCTCCCATTCTTTCAATCAAAACATGAAGCTTGAGCAGCAAATTCAAAGACTAGCTCAGACCCCAATTAGTCCCTCTAGAGGTCTAGGATAAGTTTTCTAATATAATTGTCAATCTCTACTCTGTTGTTCAGAGGACCTGATATTGACAGTCCTCCCCTTCATTTTCCAAACAGTAATTTGGATCAGATCTTAAAAGAAAAGAAAGAAAGAAGCTTGCCTTCCCATGGTAGTTTGTGCCTTAGCTAATCCGCAAATGCTATGGTTATGCTGGACACTGATAAATTTGTCTCTGGGATGGTGGTCAGGATCCAAGTGGACAACTGCACTTGCTGCTTTATTATCACAAACGTTTTGAACCTCTTGGCAATTCCTAGGCCTAGAAATGATATGGGAATTTAATGAGGCTCCACTCCTATATATCCCACTGGGATGTGTTAGGGTAAGTCCAAGTTGATCTTCTTTCATTCATGGGTTTAAAAAAAAAATACATGTGTGGAATGTCCTATAAGGAATCATGTTGCAGACACAAAGCCATTCTCATTGGCCTAGGAACCTTAGCTTAGTGTATAGTCAAAGAGGCTAAAAACATTGATTCAGTACTGAGCGTTTTCACCTGTCTCCTACTTCCAACTTATATCTGTTTTCCTATCCATTCTGCTAATGGGGGCATTTTGTCACAGGGGGCATCGAATAAGACAATGGAAGCTTTATTTAATTTCATCTCTATATTGGCCATAATTGTAACTATATTCCTTACCTCCCAAGGTCATTGTGTATATCACGTGAGTTTATGTATTTGAAAGCACTTTGAAAATTATGATCCACCTATACATGTAAGGAACTTAAATTATCATTAATATTAATAAATGTCATTTCAGTAATTGACATTTAACAATAATAAAATCAGGGTAAATATATCCATAATCCATGACAAGAGGTAAGAATAGGGAACAAGAATGACTCCCAATTCATATCCTGATGAAAGTAGGACAAAATATTCATTGCTGAACATGAAATACATTACTTATAATTGCTTCCCACCTATCCATTTTAATTAATTGATTCGGAGGCAAGGCACATTTGAAAATAAAACTAAGAATAGCCTTTTTATCAAGCTAAGTGTCTATAATATGGATGTGTGAGGCAAATTGACAATAATTCTACAAAGAAACTGAAACTTTTTAGAAATAAAATGTAGACAGCTGAATTTAATTTAATTTTCATTTTATTTATGTTTTAAATACACCTAGTTCCTCTCCTCAGAGGAAATCACTGTTACTAGTTTCATATGTATTCATTCAGAAATATTCCATACTTACACAAATAAATTTATATATGCATACACATGCACACACATGCACACACATATATAATATATAAAGTATATAAATATATAAGCTATATATTTATGTATTTTATTCAAAGGATGGTATATTGTACACCCTGTTTAGAACCTTGCTTTTTCATTGAAGAGTATATCTTGGAGATATTTTCATAATCGATGTATAGATTTACCTAATTCTTTCAAGTAGTTGCATAATAATATGTCATTTTATGAAAGTACCATAATATTATTTAACCAGTCTCCAACTGGTGAATATTTGGTTGTTTCCAGTATTTTGCTATATTAACAAACAGGATTTTCAATTCAAATATTTAAATTTTGTTTAAAGTATATCCCTTATGTTTCAAATAATATTTAAATATCAGATCATTAAGAGTAACTGAAATGTTTACAAAATGAAAACTATAGATAATATATTTGTATATTTGTCTATTATGCCAAAATTAGCTTAGTTAGAAAACTATATTGTTTGTTTCCATAAGGACAAGATGCATTGTAGGCCATCAATAAAGATTTGTTGGAAAACAGAGTATTTCACTAAAATTTTCCCATTTCAATCAATTTGGATATCAGGAAGATGAAGTTAATGTTATGTAAATTTCTTTAATAAGAATTTCTGGAGCATCAACAACTATTTTGGAAATCTCACCCAATTTATATATTTTCCTAACTTTTCCTGACACGTGGTCAGCTTTCTTTCTCTTTCTCTTCTAAACTTCCTTGCAAATATGAGATGAACTTTTCTCATGTCAGCAGGGAATTCTTAAGCCAGTCAATTAAAGATGGTTTAATGATTCTCTTATATGCCCAGCTCTATTCTATCTCCTGTGAATTACAAAGACATATAAAACATTTCCCTTTAATAAGTATGAGTTCAGTCGGATAGTTGAAGCAAGACATAAATCTGGGAACAATTAAACAGAATTCAGATTATAAATAATAGCTTGATATAAGGTTTGCCATAAAGCATTTTATATCTTCGTGACAAGTGCTCTCAAATTTCTTTCTTCCAAGTGCCTTTCCTTTTTTTCTTTTTCCCACGCTCCATAACTTTGACTCCTTATCCCCCCCACTGTAGCATTGTTACAGCATCCTCTTAGCTGGTTTTGCTTTCCCCAGCCTATCCTGTACATCAAGCCAATCATCTTTAGATAGCACTTCTCTTGAGTTTTCTGTTGTTGTTGTTCCAAGAATCTAGAATGTCCTTCTAGTTTACTATATCATGTCCAAATTCCCCTGCAGATTTCTCAGGATCCTTCAGAACTGAACTCTTTCTTATCTATCTAGTTTCATTTCCAGTTACTCCATATCATGAGCAATTTGCCCTGTACCCTACCCCACCAAACTCCTTATAGCCAGATCATTTTCCTCTAGCCACACTATGCTTGCTAAGTTCTACCTCTGTTCCTCATTTGTGTTGATAACTTTTCTTTCATTTATTCTTCTTTATTCTCTGCCTTTCCAAATCTTCTCCATTCCTTAAGGTCTATGAGGAGACCCATTTTTCTCCATAAAACTTTCCTCAATCCTGCCAACCAATACTGACCTTTCTTTTTGCCATTCCTTTACCACATACGGACTTACAGCTCAAATGATACAATTTTTCATTGCATTGTAGTCTTTGTTCTATTACCTCTTTATAAATTTATTTTTTTTATTTTTCAATGACAGTTGACATACAATATTAGTTTTATGTGTACAACATAGTTATTAGACATTGATATCACTTATGAAGTGATAATCATGATAAATCTAGGTAAACATCTTTATTTTAATGTGCTCATTCTGTGTTCATAGTCCTAGAGCTTATATTTACTTCCTCCTCCCTTAGCACTTAGCATAGGATTTGGTGGACAAAGGATGCTCTATCAGCATTTTTGATCAATTATCCTAATGAAAGTACAAGTGCTTTATTATATTGTTTTGTATGATGAGGTAGAGAGTAAGGGATGATTCAGAGGCATAAAAATTTCAATCCACCTGAAATGTCCATTAGGGTTCACTAAGAATATATAGAGGTATGGAGATTTAATATTTATCTGATTGTACTTTTAAAAATCTATATTTCTTTACATTAACAAGCTTATAAAAACCACTCAACATAGTCTACATGTTTGATTTTGTTGGAAAGTGTAGCTGTCGAAATGACCTATTTACTGTGATCAATGATGCTCTAAATATGCTTGGGAAATAGATATTGTATGGATAGAGTAACAACTCAAGTAGGAATACTGTCTAATAAATGTTTACACTCTATCAAGTCTACAAGCATTAAATATTACCCATGATAAAATCTTTCTTAACCTGTAATTTATTTCAATTTTTCCATTACCTTCTTTCATTTTCTCTTCTAGCTTTACTCACAGACAAGCCTCCCAAGCCATTGTTCCCCATGGAGAATCAGCCAAGTGTTATAGATGTCCAGCTGGGTAAGTCCCCTTCTGGGAATAATATATCCTAAATTTGCTCTGTTAACAGATGAGGAAAATTGCATGAACCAAGAAAAGTTTATTGCCACTGTTATTACATGTGAATCAATTTGCGTCTACTCATTTATAACCGTGGAGTCCAGTGCAATAGCAGTTTAAGGAAATGAGTTTGTATTGCATCAAAGAATAGTGATGCTAATTGGTTACACTGGGTATTAAGTGTGCCGTAGGACAGAGGTTTTTAACTTTGTGATTGATAGATTCGTGAATGTCATGCATTGATGACTGGTACAGAAAACTTCATGTTTGTCAGCCATTTTTTTTTAATTTAGGGAGCATGAACTCTTGGAGAACAAGCACTTTTTTAAAAATAAAGAGCTCCTCAGTAAGCCTTTAAACTGGTTTGATAATATTATTTCCAATGATACAATCCATGGCTATTTAAAAGTTGTTTTTATGGTGAGATCCTGAATATTTATGAATCATATGGTGTTGGGAAAAGTAAAAAGTTGATTTGTGAGTACTATCATCTTTTTATAGTCTCAAATACACAAGGTATTGAGCCTTCTTTTTGTGTCCCCTACCACTAATCCTTAGATTTCAAGAACTATAAGATTGAAACTCAGAGGCCTGCCAATATATCTTTCAAATCATGGCCTTTAAGTCATGTACTTAAATATGAATGAGCTTTCATCTATCGTGTTTCATTCTCTTCAATTCTAAGAAAGTCTTCAATTCTCAGTAAGAGAACTGAGTAAATAAAGCTGGAAATGTATTAGATTTATTTTGGGCATGTGATTTACTCAAATATGTGACGGTGGTGGTACCTACTAATTATATAACCAGAACAGATGAGTTGGCCCCAGTATTTCACTCATTTTGGAGGTTTGGGGCTCAACTTTTGATCTTTCCAATTCTCTTGAATTATTAGAGGCTTATTGCTATCTGAAAACAGGTGAGAGAAAATTACATTCCTAAGAGCTTGTTTATTTTTCTAAAATGTAATATATTACATTGTAGTTAATGCAGCCTAGCAGTGTGAGTACCAAAGTTAAATATTTTAAAACAAAAAGAAGAAAAAATAATAAACATGTTGTCAAGAGTGGGCTGTGGGAATGGTGAATATTCTGTAGACAATGTTGAAGTATTAGACTATGGCTCTCCCCTTACCACTTGTATTATTTTGCACTCATTACATTTTGTTAAAAGCAAACCTAGATGTGTTGGCACATGCCCTCAGTAATTTTATTTACATCTTTCAATCCACTCTGGGATAAAAATACCTCAAGGATACTCTGGTTTGCCAGGGGTTACATGAAGCTATAAAATGATCTTGTACCATTTGTTTTCATGGAGATTCAAGTGCACAAGTTGCTTTTATATGAAAACATATATTAAGGAGTAGAAATCAAAATTCACACTATTTCGAATAAAATATGAGTAAACTTTGTGTTCATGCCTCTGTGTAATTACTTCTTCATTCTCCTCTGCCATTAGGCAAACCAACAAAAAAGTCTGAGCAGTAATTCTCTAAAGCAAGGAGACAGACCCTTGTAGGGAGTACATTTAATTCAGATGCACTAGCTGTAACACATGTATGTGCTATTCAGGACGTCTCTAAGATGTGCTTCATATGAATGTGTATTTCAACATAGGTATATATGCCAAAATAACCCACTACCAACACCACCTACTAAAGTAATTTGCTTCCAATGTACATTAGATGCAAGGCTTAACTTTATCAGTTTTTAATTTGTAACACCACTTGGAAACAACTTTATTGACAGAAAAGTGGAGACCTGCCCATTTTTCATCCCAGAATGGCTGTTTCCTTAAGATGCTAAAGCAACCATGTCATTCAGAGAAAGAAAAACAAAATCAGTTAAACCAGATCTTTGGCATTTCAAAAAGAAAAACAAAATCAGTTAAACCAGATCTTTGACTGGTTGATTTTAAGTGACTAACTTTTCCACAAATTTATTTAAAACGATTTATTTACAACTAAAAATGATTTTGTAACTTACTCTTATGCCTCAATAGTAAGGTGATATTAGGAACACTGTAAATGTCAAATTGTTCTTCATTGTCAGTGGGAGCTTTGCAGTCAGAATGATGAGGGTTTGGAAACGCCAAAGATAAAAAAGAGATAAAAAAGGTAATTGGAGCAATTAGAGGATCCTGTCTATATGTGGAAAGCTTTCAGAATTCAGTAAGATTATGAAATCTTCTGGAAATTATTTTCCTTATTTTTTCAAACTTATTAAGCACATTCAGATTTAGACATACTCTAACAAGAACTAAAACTAGTACTACCCAAAAACACAACAATACAATCCAAATGGTGAAGCACATGTCACAGTTCAGTTTTTCCAAATCCCAATACTTAAAAACTGAGACAACATTGTGGTAGATTTAAAGTTGCCTACAGATTTTTTTTTTTGCCACTCCTACCATTTAAATATAATTTCTCATTCCTCTCTCCTTGAAACTTGGATAGCCTTAGGTACATGTTTGACCAATAGAGTATGACATAAGTGATATTCTGGGATTTTGGAGGCTAGGCCAAAAGAAACCTTGCAACTTCTGTTTGGGTATCTTTGTCTGCTCTGAAACTACCATGCTGTGAGAAGCTCAAGCTACTTGGAGAGGCCCTAGAGGATGAAAAACCATGTGGAGAATGAGAAGCCAATGAGCGCCAAAGCACCAGATATATAAGTGAAGAGGCCATCTTGGAAGTGGTTCCTACAGCAACAACTGCCTTGGCTTATGTCATGTAGTTCAGAAACAAATCTCAAAATTTATTATTTTAATGTATTTATTTTAATTAGTTTCAAGTATATAGTATATTGGTTAGACATCTTTATAGTTCATAAAACGATCCCCCCAATTGCTCCCTCTCTTCCCTGACCCTCCACCTAGCCAACGTATTCATGCTAATTGCATTCCCTATGCCATGCTCCCCATTCCAGTGACCATCCATCAGCTACTAATTTGTACTTCTGCTCTTTATCTGTCCTTCAACTCTAAATGATAGCTTTGCTGGATAAATTATTTTTGGTCGTAGATCCTTGTCTTCATGAAGTCCCATATTTTGTGCCCAGCCCCTCTGTCTTGGATAGCTTCTTTTCAGAAACCAGCTGCAAGTCTCATGCATGTTCCCTTGTAGGTTACTATCTGTTTTCCTCTTGCTGCTTTTAATATTCTTTTTTGTATTTAACCTTTGGTATTTTAATTATGATGTGTCTTGCTGTGGGCCTCTTTGGATCCTAGATTTTTGGAATTCTCTGAGCTTCCTGAGGTTTATGTCCATTTCCTTCACCAGGTTAAGAAAGCTTTCCATCATTATTTCTTCCAACAGCTGTTCAACATCTTGATTTTCTTCAGTTACGCCAATCAGATGGATATTTGTACCCTTAAAAATGTCCTTTATGCTCCTTAAATTATTTTTATAATCTTGACTTCTTTTTTCATGCCATTCTGATTGAGTGTCCTTGGCTTTCCCATCCTCTAGATAGTGCATTTGATCCTTTTATTTATTCACTTTGTTTATTCCTTTGTTTATTCCATTTAATATATTTCTTATCTCAGATAATGTGTTCTTCATTTCGGACTGGTTCCCTTTTATAATTTCCATTTCCATTTTCATGTTTTTTAACCTCTTTGTTGAAGTTCTCACTGAATTTAACCAAAAAAATAATAATAATAATCATTGAGCATCTTTATAACCAGTGTTTTGAACTCTGCATCTGTTAGATTACTTGACTCCATTATATCTGTTCTATTCTCTAATATGGTTTCTGCTTCTTTGTCTTCCTATTTTGGCTGATTTTCCATGTCTGCTTCTATGTACTAAGCAAAGTTCCTAAGTCTCCTGGTCTTATTAACGTGGATTTGTGAAGTAGGTGTCCAGTGGCACAGTCCTGAGAGGGGTTCAACTGCAGGCCAAATTTAGCCCAAGCCTCTGCCCCTCTGGGGCCACTTGTTAAGATTCAGCAAGCAGTCCACAGATGCTGTGCTTATAGTTGCCTCAAAAGGCCACACCAGAAACTGAGGCCAGCTGCCTCCAGTGTGAGTCTAGGTGCTGCTCAGCAAGGAAACCTGACTCGCTGAGGATATACCTGGATGTTCCTTGGCTGTGTGGCCGCGGGTTGAGGGAGGCAGGGTTTCAGGGAATTCTCTGGGTGGAGCGACCTCTGTTATCTAGTTTGATGACTTTACGGCTATGTCCGGTGCACTGGTAAGGGGGAGGGCTCCACAGGGAATAATGGATACCGCCGGCACTTCTGTACAGGCGAGTATTGCCCTGGCCCTCACTCCAACAATGTCTCCCTATAAGTCTCTGGTGCCTCCTGAGCACAGCCAAATCGGCACTAGTCCTCAGAGCAAGCAGGTCCTGCACCATGAAAATCCACTCCCAGATTCAGCCCCTGTAAGAGGCATCTGATGCTTCTGCTGCTGCAGGCTCCCTCTCACTCAGCTGCTCGAGACCGAGCAGCCCCCAGTCCTCACCCTGTCCTACCTTCTGCCGTAGCAGGGTGCTTTCTTGGATTTCTCCCTAGTTGTATGGCTTGTTCATCTAGATCCCAGACAATTTTTCCTTGCTGATGCTCCTTGTTTCCATCACAACTTTGATTTGGTCACCAGAGGTATAAACAGAGCCTCTATCATCTATGCCATTTTGGTTGCCCCCACAAAAATGTATAATTTTTGACTCAGTCTTTCCACATATTGAATTTTACTGGTGTTGCCTTTGAAAGGGTTTTCAAATTCTTCTTCAGTGAGCTTCACTTTGTTAGATATTCGGACATGAGCGATCTCAAATTTCTGACACACAAAAAAATGAGTGAAATAAAATAGTTGCCATTTGTCACAGAGTTAGTAGTAGTTTGTTAAGCAACAATAGATAACCAGAACAACCATTAATTAATTTTCTCTAGAAATGGAATTTCTCCGAATTCCATTTTCCCCATGGACAAGAATCTCATGTGGGCATTTTATGC